ATAAAAGTAACATTAATATTTACACATTTTCTCTAAAAAGTTTTATTGCAAAGAAATTTATCATATTACCGATTAAACTTTTAATATAATTATGATTTAGAGTCAATATTTTACTCCAAATCATTGATGGAAAAATGGACCGATTTTTCATTTATGACTAAGCGCGCTGCAGGCTAGAAACCAATGGATCTGATATAAATTTGTTTTTGTTTAAAATTAGGCTTGGTTAATTGGGCTTAGGAATAACAGTAAGGCGTGAGCGCCTTCCAATATAAGTCAAGTATGAAATATATTTAATATTTAATTTAAAAATTTTTAAGTGTACTTTTGTAAACTAAATGTTTACTTAAACACTAAAAATACCTACACTTGGTCCCTTGTGTTAAAACCCAATTTTCGTAGTTAATAGGTTATTAATAGGTATAATGAAATCCGCATGAGATTCGATTGCTTGGAGCATCGTGAGCTTTATTAGAAACGGGGACACGATTTCTATCCCTCACCATCAAAGCAGCAGCAATATAAAACTTAAGCAAGAATAATGCATACCGAACATAGAAACGCAACAAATTTATTGTTCGGATAAATAGGAACAAATGTTATAGACACAGAGAGAAAAGGGGTCATACATTTTACAAGGCACCAACAGCTTCCTTTCTGATTGACATCAAAGGAAAATTTCAACAATGGACGAAATGCCTGAACTTCCTAACGAAAAGCAGTAGAAAGAATGTAACTCCAAGGGATTCCTTGGAAGGAAAAACTACTAGCCAAAGCAGCATTGTCAACAAAAGCACTATTTCTCTAGCTCAAGCAACTTACTGTTCAGCAGTTGAGCTTTTGTATCCCCCAAACCATAGAAGATAGATCATTCAAGACAAATATGTAAGTTATTGGAACAGCCGAAGAAAGTTGTTTGCATATGCCATTGGCTTGACATCAGGATGAGGCTGTCATTCACAAACAGAAAGGTACTGTTACAGAGTGTTATGATGTGCAATTTGAAAGTTTAAAAATGGATATCACAATGCAAAGGTGCTCACCAGCGCCGAGAATGTAACAATGTTTGGCTTCAAATCGGGAGCTTCAAAACGAATGGAAGCACCCTTGTTGCCCATCTGCAGAAACAGATTGCAGAACCATGTTAACAAGTTGTATATAAGATCATAATAACAAATGTAGTAACTAGAGAAGGAATGAATAACCAACAAGTTTCAAGGTTAAAGTGGTAACCCAATAGTTTTCGTTAATAACCAAAAAAAAAAAAAAAAAAAAAAAGAGTGAACAGTTCTGTAGCAGCCAAACTAGTCCAACAATAAACGCATGAATATACATTTCAAGATGAAATACTGACTTTGACCCTTTGCTGAGCTACTTTGTAAAACTATACAATTTGATTTTCTAGGCAATGAATGGTAAAGTAACAAAAAATATGCTTTTGTTCCACTCTACCAATACAGAGTTGCATAAAAACATAATCACACAATGCCCTTGGGTGAATTTGCGAGAAAATAATGATCACATTTACAGTAAATCAACAATTCGTTACCTGATCACAATAATTTAGTGCAGAAAATACAGTAATAAGTTTACCATCATGCTCAATCTCAAAACCTTCCTCTTTTACTTCTTTAAAGAATAAAATATAATGATGATCAAGACTTTCACTTTCAACCCATAATTGGAATATATAAATTCAGATCAGAGAAATCATAAGGGTAAAAATACAGACCTTCCTCAAATCACCCGCTTTAACGGTGCCTTCTGTGGAGACGGGAACCTGGTACTTCTTCCCAGTGCGTTCGTCGATGATGGTCAAGGAACCGCCAAGGGAGACGGCGGTCTGAGCAGAGACGCACCATGGCTCAATGATCGGCAGAGAAGAGAGGTCGGAGGGT